AACAATACCATATTTTTGTAATTGTATATTATTTTAAGGGTAATTTCGTCTTTTAAGCGTTGAAAAGCTATTGTGGTGGATGTCAAAAAAAACTTGCGCAATGGAAAATGGCATGTTTGACATGACTAAACCGAAAAGTACCCCCACTTTCCAACATACTCTAAAATAATTTGATTGGATTGCCTCGGTTCTTTTTAATTTTGTATAGAAAACATACAATAAATACAAAACATACAATAAACGTGTATCACAGAACATTACAACACTGAATCGCCAATACTCCTTCCATTTGGATTAATTTCCCGTTTATTGGTCCTTTAAATAATGTCACGACTACATCATAATTGGACATAACGAAGAGTTGACATCAAAATGAACTTAGAGATGATCTGAGCATATAAATGCTGATTTGAGATCAATCTCAATGTTTTAACTCAAACATTTCCTTCACCCTTCGACGAGTTCCTTCTTGTCTACGGAATTCTTCAAGAAACTCTCCGTACCGATATTTCCGATACATTGGAGGGTGGTGTTCATCAATCAAGTCTTCTATAGGACAAATAACGATGTCCTTGTTCGGTCCATAGAACATTGCTATCGATACTCGATACATATCCTTGTTGGTCACAGCCCTGTGCTGCACACTCTTGAATCTTCCATTACTCAATACCTACAACGAAATAAGAACATTATCAATTCTCATCTATAGGTCAAGTGCATGATAAGTACGATAAAATTAGACTATACGATGTAAAATATTTTAGCTTCATAATCTTTAACATTGTACAAAGTAGTAAATTCTACCTTGTCAAACAAATCATGAAAGATTACCTTCTAACCGGAAAGGTCTATTTGATACTTCAAAATTGCTCAGCAACAATCGAACTTTTAGTTTACCTGAATCTGGTCACCGAGGTTAACGACCAAAGCATTGGGAACTGGATCCACAGTTATCCATTCACCATTTTTGATAGCTTGTAGACCGGTCACACCTTGAGACTGTAGAAGAATGGTGAGAGCATTTAAGTCGGTATGAGTGGGCAATCCTAAGGTGAGTTCAGGTTGTGGACAAGGTGGATAAAAATTGGACTGTAAAACTAATCTAGGATTCTGTCCAAGGCTCTTTTGTAAAATATCCTTTTCTAGCCCCAGACCCATAGATATCAAGCTCAAAAGTTGGCTCATCAGGCTTCCTATCTCCTTTGCATACTGAGTAGCAATTTCTCTGAAACAAACAAAAATATGTACAAAATGATGTATCAAATCCAAAATTATAGATTTAATTGTGCTGCATATTGATGAAATTTCAGCGGAAAGTAATAGATTTGTTCCTCTTTTAACCATTTAAGATTTAAGATGACGTAGTTTTTTGGAATTAGAGTATGAAGGGCTTAAAGTTCAAGTCTTGCTACAATATGTCAGGGACTTGTTGAAAATAATTTATATATTTGTCTTATCTCTATCAAGTTGAGCGTTACACGTTGAAGACTAAATTTAATTAAGTAAATATATTAGTTCTCTAACGATTTAAGCTTTTCAGAGTAAGGGACTTTAATGTAGTACTATAGTATACAAGTGTCACTAGTTCAAATTTCATCATCGTCTATTATTACGAACAGTTAACAAACACATGAACGTGTGTGTTGACGTCAATTATAGCAAATTAAAGACAATTTATACAAATAAATATGTTTCATCTGCTTTAAAATTTTAGAAGACACAGTTCCATGGATACTGCATCCTATCCAACAGTTTTAACCTTTTCAACAGAGTCGAGAGATACCATACCGGTAATGGGGAGGATTTTGTGGCAACAAATCGAACAAATCATCAACAGGATGCCAAGGATGAGCAAGAGTCTCACTCCACATTGTAACTTTGTCTTTCCCTTGAGCTTTAAGGTAATAATTAGAGACCCTCAAAGGTATAGTTTTGTCGTCAGTGAACAGGACTGCTCTTTCTTCAGGAGGTAGACTGAAGAAATCAATGACAGAATCTATCATCTTTTGGCACAATTCACTGGGCACTCCATGGTTAATAATTTGGAAGAACCCATATTCTTCACAAGCTTGTGCTATTTTCTTGACTAAAATTGGAACTGAATCTTTCATGTTTATGACTGGAATTGAGGGTAAATTGGACGGGTTTGAGATCACTGGCCTGCTTTCATTTGGCAGGATGAAATTGTGTGAAAGGGGGCCAAGAGAAATGGTTTCTTATCCATCAAAAATGGCGTAAAATGCAAAAGTGAATGATCACCGCTTTCAAAACATCTTTTTTGGTGCTTATTAGGGCATACTACTCAACAAAGCTGAAAAATAACCATCACGGTGCATGAACGTCAAAGTTGACATAAATTTTCACATAATGTCACGTAACATTTTATCATCAGACAGTTTAAAATACATTCAACTTTTTCATATAATCATCTATTGCCATATGCAATTATATCAAATACTCTTGACAAAGTAATTTTATCCCAAAAATAAATGGACTCGAGTGTTTTTCAAGATAAAAAGAAGAGAGGAGTTGATTATTGAGAGTTGGGAATTCACGTGGCTGTCGGTACATTGATTATTGAGTATATGATAAATTGATTTTCCTTTTTTACTCTCAATTCTTCTTTTCTTAGTTCTTGGACCTTGTTTCTTTTCTTATTTTTCAATTGTTCGTTATCAAATTAATAAGATCTTGTGTCACCCTTCTTTTCGATGATCGAGTTTTCAAAATGTGTCGATTGCTCTAATTGGAGATTGACAGGCCATGCATGGTTCGATCTTTCTCGATCGTGCCATAAGGGCAAACTTGACCGCATAATTGCATAGGCGGACTCAGCTCACTACCAACACTAATTTAACTCTTGAAATCCACCCCAATTTTTTCCACACGCCTGAGATTTTTGAAATAGACCCCGACAATTCTAATCGAATTCCAGGAATCAAATTAGATATTTTTGGTAAGTAACGTGTTATCAAGGTTGCTTAGCATAGACCGATCATCTCTATTTGCTAGGGATTATGAAGTTAAGAAGACATCCTAATTTAATTTTGAAAATGACATTTCACGAAGTACAAATAGAGATTCAAATCAATAGGAAATGAAGTTCAGTTGAAACCAGGACTATCTTCCGTTATTTATATAATTNAGATTCGATCTGTTGATAAGTTTTTCTGCACTTTACTGTTATTTCCTCCAACAGTTCTATTATTTTAGATTATTTCTCCTATAAATAGAGAACTTATTCATTGCAATAAGATTCTTGAGTATATGATAAATTGATTTTCCTTTTTTCTCTCAATTCTTCCTTTCTTAGTTCTTGGACCTTCTTTCTTTTCTTATTTTTCAATTGTTCGTTATCAAATTAATAAGATCTTGTGTCACCCTTCTTTTCCATGGTTCGATCTCTCTCCATTGTGCCATAAGGGCAAACTTGACCGCGTAATTGCATAGGCGGACTCAGCTAAAGAGGCACTACCAACACTAATTTAACTCTTGAAATCCAACCCCAATTTTTTCCACACGCCCGAGCTTTTTGAAATAGACCCCGACAATTCTAATTGAATTCCAGGAATCAAATTAGATATTTTTGGTAAGTAACGTGTTATCACGGTTGCTTAGCATAGACGAATCATCTCTATTTGCTAGGTATTATGAAGTTAAGAAGACATCCTAATTTAATTTTGAAAATGACATTTCACGAAGTACAAATAGAGATTCAAATCAATAGGAAATGAAGTTCAGTTGAAACCAGGACTATCTTCCGTTATTTATATAATTGACAAGCCATAGAACACGACTACCTTTCGTAAAAATGTTCACAACTGCTGGTCGAACAACGGGTCTTTGGTGACATTTCCTCCGCCAAGATATCCCGAAGTAGTCTGCAAAGTCCCGGAATATACCCTATGTAGCATGGACGAACCCCATGCCATCCATCCTGTCTGAGTTTCCTTATTTTCTTCATCCAAACTTCTCTGGTGTTCGGCCTGTAGAATCTCAAGTCGTCTCTTCATCATATATTCCTTGATAGTTTCGACTCCTTGGCTTATAATTTCTCGTGGAGGAATAATAAGTGGATTCTGATCCAAATTAAGAATACGTAAGTTCTGAAGCTGGTAAATCGTCTCTGGCAGAACTCGGAGTTGGTTGTTACTGAGATCAAGCTCTCGCAGGTTGATAAGATCACCGATCGTTTCAGGTAATTCCGTCAAATCACTGAAGTTTCTGCTCAGATTTAAGACCTCAAGATTTGTTAGTTTCCCAATTCCGAGGGGTACTCCATGGAGTGCGTTGAAATGAGCGTCCAAGTTTCGCAATGATTTCATCTCACAGATTGAGTTTGGAAGAGCTCGTATTTTGTTCAAGGGAATCAACAATTTCTGAAGACTCACCAGTCCGTAACCCATGTTCATTGGCAAAAACTTCAAGTTATTGAACCCCGCATCCAATTCAATCAATGACCTGTTGATCAAATCGAAATAATCAGTACACGGGGGAGAAAGAGATTTGCAGGCAAGGATAGTCCAAATCAAGTCAATGTTCAAAATACCTGCAACCAGCAATGCTTTCGGGCAGTTTATTCAGTTGATTTCCTGAGACATTCAAAACCTGGAGATTAACCAACAAGCCGATCGAGTCTGGCAATGTATCCAGAAGGTTCGACGACATATTGAGCTCCTTCAGTTTCTGAAGTCCAGCAATCGAGTCGGGAATGACCTGTCACCAAACCAAACCACATATCACGAAGGAATTCGGATCATAGATGCACTACTTCCATTCAACAACTAATTGCTTGGGACGAAACAGAGTTCACATCACAAAGTCGATGTAGGTCTCATATCGAGGCTGAACAACACCAAAACTATCCATTCCAATTTTTATTTCAATTTATTATTGTCCTCGTAAGTAGGGATTAAGGATCAATCTCCGTCGCATTTTTTGTCAAAGAGAAGCAAATTGAGAACTTCCTAATTGACTCTTTTCTTTCTTTCCCAATTACTCGACACTGTAAAGGAAGTAATGCCTTCTGAATTAGACATGCAAGAATTTAACAATAGGGCTGATTGGATCTTGCTTACAAAAGTCGTAAATTCGGAAATAATGTTAATTAATCGAAAAAAATAGCTATACTGAATAAACTCTAAAACCTATCAATAATTTACTATTATACAGTATCACTCCCAGAAATGATCAAGGTTCAAGACCAAGAAATTTCATTTTCTTAATCACTCCAAATCAATCTCAAGATTACATTTTTTAATCTTACAAATTTCAAAACGTGGGTAATTTTGAAATTCCACTACCAGTTTTAGGCCTAGTCAGATGGATTGAATTATCGGTATTTTACACAGTTTAATTGATTTGCATAAATCTTGAATAAAAAATAATGAAACAAAACTGACCTCGAGCTGATTATGGGAAAGATTAAGAAGAAGCAAGCCATGAAGTTTCCCAAAGGCCTCAGGCAGAAACCTTAATTGACGCCCAGAAAGATCCACTGTCTTGTCGGGTCCAAACCCTTGTTCTAATACACGAATCACCTCTCTATCCACGCCATCATCATCGAGTTCAGATCCAAGATTGTCAGCCATTGAATTATCTGGGCAAGCAATTGAAGAAGAGAGAGATTCCCAAGTGCGTAGAGAAGTAAGAGATGGAGTTTTATATGGTTGACGGGTTCCTAGTCAAGTGTTACAACGATATATAAGGAAATCTTTGCCAATGATCGCCGCCTTATAGTACAAGGCAATCTGTTCACATCGGCACAAGGTTTCTGTTGACAAATAGTTTAATTGAAATTTCTCCATCGGTTGATCATTAAAAAAATCAATATTTATTAAAATTACAGTTATACCTTAAATTAGAATTAAATATGAGAAAAAGAAATCTTTTTAAAATAAATAAATAAATAAATGATTCGTTTTCTTGACCACATCCTATCTAAATTCTATACTAGTAATTGAGTTTGCTCGATATTAGAGTGGACATGAGATCGAAAAATGAAAATCAGCAAGACGAAATTTGAAGAGATGCTTCTAAAAATTATCATACTAAACCCCTGTTTGTCGTACCATTATTCAAATTTTTTTTTCATAAATTCATTTTCAACTACATTTTCAAAAATAAAATATTTTGCACGTAAACTCAAATTTTTATTTTATTTTTTACTTTTTAACCACACATTTTCCAAAAATTTACTGTTCAAAAACTCATTTTCTCTTAATAATTGTAGACAAAAAGGAGCAAAAGCAACTACCAATGCTAAGTTAATTTCCTTTTTGATTCTTGTGGCATTACGACCTTTACCATAATGATGTTGTTCATTGATCAAATTATTTCGTGAATTGGATTTCACTTGACTGTCTAAGGTTCCATTGCGTG